GGTTGATGCCCCAACCCCCCAATCGGCCCTACCCTGAGCGTGACTGAGGGTGGCATCGCAACCTTCTGATCTGCCCTGCTCTGTGCATGACAGGGGGTGGTTCCCCAACTCCCCAATCGGCCCTGCTATGAGCCCGACCAGGAGCTGCGGGGCAGGCACCTAGGGATTGGGCCTGCCCTCTGCCACCTGGAAGCAGGCCTAAGCCAGCAGGTCGTTATCTCCCGAGGGGTCCCAGACTGCGAGAGGGCACGGGCCGGGCTGAGGCCCCCCCCCCCAAGTGCACAAATTTTTGTGCACTGGGCCTCTAGTCTTACATAATGTGGTATGTCATTTACAAAGAGTTAAAAGATAATGACTTTAAAAAGTCATAACCACATATAATTCTTTACTGTCAATAATGTTTAAATATTGTTAGAATTGTGTTTACATTTTTACAATTATTTAATTTACAAAAATAATTGTTGGCTCAATTCAAATAATATTTATACAATGAACTTAACTGATAAATACCTGAAGTGTATTTTATTATAGAGGATATCCTCTGGCCTCTCCCTCTTTCTTTTAAATTTTGTTTGAAATTTCTTTGCTGAAGGAATGGGGTTGTTTGCTTTAGAGTTTTGTGCAATATAGATTTTGCCGACTATCCATTGTAATGGTCTTCAATACCGTGTATATTTCCTATAAATTAAGAGATCTAGACATCCAATTTTCACCTTTTCCAGGAAGAATACATCATTGGTGTATTGTACGAGTTGTTCCTAATTGTGGAATAAAAGTTATTTTCTTTATCTAATCCTCATTTGGTACCTTTAGCATCCAGGGACAGGGAATAGGGTCATCAGAATAGAAGGCCCACAGCTTATCTCCACTTAAGATTCCCTCCAATCTTTAAAAGTTACAGCAAACAATCATATCTAAGCAACAAAACTTAAGACAATACACATGTAAACAGTTTGGTTTATTATGATAAAATAAAACAAAAAAAAGTTAATCTGAACTTTCTGTTATAGAGGGCAGACTGAAACCACACATTAAGCTTAGGTCTATCCAAAACTATAAAAATGACATTGCAGTTTGTGTGTGTGTGTGTGTGTGTGTGTGTGTGCATGCACATACACACAACATAGATACAGTATATATACTGTATATATCTATATATGTGCAGCAAATACACTGCATAGAGTAGTATATATAACTACATGTAGTTATATATATGGTTAAATATATATAAAAAGCATAACTTCACAAAGAAAAAGGAATAGGAGAGTAAATCATAGCTAGAAACCAAGTGTATGAGTAAGTGGAAACTAATTTAATTAGCAGATCCAAAAACATCAGAGCCTAACTTGGCAGTACTGTATGTAAAAGAAAGCTGCAATCTACTTTGTACTGTAAAAATCCTAAAACGCTCAAGAATGAGTGGTAAGGAAACTTCTGAAAGCGGGGATAAAGTTAAAACCAAATGATTAGTTTAAAGGCTGTTTAAGAAATAGCCAGATGTCCCCAGGTTTCTTCCTTCCACAGGGCTGGGCAATGCCTTCCATCGTCCCACTAAAGCAGAAGACTAGAGCTTTATTCTCCAAAGAAGGTAAATGCAGAGCATGGGATATCAGATCCAGCTGTGAGCCCTGACAAAAATGACCGTCCAAGCCTTCTGCCTCTTCTTCCTTCCAGAAGGCATAAGATCGAAAGAACCCTCTCTGGGAAATCTTACCAGGCCCCCCAAATGACCTAATTATAATGTTAGGGATTCCCCAATGAAAAGGCTCATACATACCACTCTGATTGATGCTCAATTGGTAAGACCCATCTACTGCATGAAGCATACAATCCTATTCAGCTTTTCAGTGCTCTACTGCTGCTAAATATGATTATATCCAAAACTTGATAGAAATTTGAAGAAAGCTTATGACATTTGTTCTAATATCTAAGACAAAAGAATAAAATAAATTGGAGACCATACAGAAAGAAGAAAACTTCTAAAAGAGTATTCTTATTCTTAGAGAAATAATAAACAAAACTCTATAAAAAAGAATATTCAGCCTGGCCAGCATGGTTCAGTGGTTAAGTGTTGACCTATGAACCATGGTTCGATTCCCGGTCAGTGGACATGCCTGGGTTGCAGGCTCAATCCCCAGTGTGGGGCATGCAGGAGGCAGCAGGTCAATGATTCTCTTTCATTACTTAGGTTTTTCTATCTTTCCCTCTTCCTTCCTCTCTAAAATCAATAAAACATATTAAAAAATATACAGTCAGAGAAAAATCTTCCTATAAATTAAAAAAAACATATAACATAGCAGAAATGAAAACTCAATAGAAAGGTTGTATGATACATGAGGAGTTTCTCAGAAAGTATAATAAAAATAAAAGAGATAAAACATGAGGAAAAATATTTTAAAATTTTTATAAAGGACCAGGATAGGAGGGAGAGGGAGTAAAAGAAACAATACAAAAAAGAATTCCCAGAATCTAAAAACATTAGACTCACCATTAAGAGTATAAGGGCATCACACTTAGAACATTATGAACTTTCAGAAAACTAGGAAAAAGAGAAGGTTCTATAAGCAGAGACAGACTGGAGAACAGTGTAAAGGCTTGAGAAACAGTGCAAATTCTGAGGAAAAATGATTTCCAATCTAGAATTCTATATCCAGCCCAACAATCATAAATATTTTCATCATATATTCAAGGTCTCAAAAATTTTACCTCCCCTATACTTTTTTTCTCAGAAAGTTACCAGAGATTGAGTTTTATCAATGAGGGAGCAACCCAAGAACGAGGACAGCATGAGACACAAAAGCAGATGGATGGTCCAACACAGAAGAGAAGCAGGCAGAAGAAAATTTCCAGGATGATAATATTGATGGGAGATCCCAAGATGACAAGTGTGAGGCTGACCTACAGAATACCCAGTCCAAACTAGAGGAGGCTGTGGGTAAGGTTGTTCAAAATAAACTTGATGAACATAGTATTTGAACATAGTGCAAGGACATTTACATAACCTGGTTGGAGGAAGGTCTGGGATGAGTGAAAAGTACATAGAATGCACAGAAAATAAAAACAGAACAATAGCAAAAGGATCTTAGTATATACTTGCTTTAGCACTGAATGCACAGGCATAACTTGAACACTGAATTGTGATCAAACCAAAATAAAAGGTTTAGAGAAATGTGGGTGTGTGATAGAGGCAATGACAAAGCTGAGTTCTCATCTGCGACTAAAGCTGAAGAACTAAAAAGGAGCCATATGAACCTGTTAAGATAGAAACATTGACATCAGTGTCAAAAGAATCAGAATGGCTAAAAGAATTGAGGGTAGAGGGCTTTAGGGAACAGGCAAAGGGGAGGGAGCTATAGAGACTGCTACTGAACAGCCAGCTCTGTGGAAGCTCTGTAAAGTATACACTGAGTGGCCAGATTATTATGACCACCCCATCAGTACTTCGTTGGGCCACCTTTTGCCTTCAATACTGCAGCAATTCTTCTTGGCACTGACTCCACGAGATGTTGAAAGGTGATGCGAGGAATCTGACACCATGCCTGATGAATAGCACTGTCCAGTTCTGTGTGTTGTGCTATTCAGACGTTCATAATGGTCTGGCCCTCTAGCAACTTCAGCGGGAAAGTATAGCTAATTTGCCTACAAACGTCAGGTTGTCATAATAATCAGGCCACTCAGTGTATATTTAATTAAAAAATATAAAAGGTAATGTGACACATTTGCTACTATGTAACAATCAACAAATATTCCCTGAGGGTTTACTTGGTGACAGCTGCTGGGCTAGAACCTGCAGTAGCCACAATGAGGCAGGCCAACGGCTACTGGCTGCCGCACATGGTACTTCATGGAAGGGCTTCTGGGATCAGCTGAGAGCAGGGCACTAGGAACATGGAACAGAAAACAACTCCATGGTCATCTGACATTGGACACACATCCAGGTGAGGCCTGATTCCAGCAGCCTGTCATTTAACTAGATACATTTAAGAAGCATTTTGAAAGGGAAGACTTTAGAAAAAAGAAAGGGATGGATATAAATATTTGTAAGTCATTGCAACAGACAAAGAAGCAGGGGCAACAGGAATTGACCACATACCCAGGAAGATAATTTAAAAATAGCAGGAAGCTGAGGAAGAGCCTTAAAGTCTGACCATCAGGAGAATCACTGCTGTGCTGAGGCCAAAATACTTTCTTCAAGGAAAAGGCAGCTCTCTCGGCAGCCCCTGCAGTGAGTCAAGAGAACCAGTCCAAAGTGTGAAGTTTCTCTGGTTTCTTCCTTACCACTCTCCGGTCATTTATGACTTTCTAAATGCCACGTCTAGCAAACACTTCTCAGGACTCATTCTTTGGACACATCTGTAATATTTAACTCTGACATCTGATTCTTTCTTCTGACCGTGATTCTTGTTCTTCCCTTGATTTTTGTGACCCTATGATCCCATTCTTCCTTGGTTCTCCTTCTCCCTCTGTGACGAGTCCTCTGTTAGCCTTCTTTGGCAATTAAGTTCAGATAGTGGTCCTGGCTCTTGGGGATCAGTGCTTAGCTAAAGGGTTTGTAGGCAGGCGAAACAGGAATATTAAAAAATATGATCAAAATAACAACCACAACAGTATCAACAATGATCAGTGCAACACAATCACAGTGCCACTCATGGTGATGAAGATGGAACGACCAGCTCCAGGGCTAACTTTGCCCAAGAATTGATGGGTCTGGTCTAGAAAGGAGAAAGGTATTTTGAAATCCTATTGGCTTTCATTAGCCAAATTACAGAAGGTAACCCAAAGAACCCAGATCCTGTGTGTAAAATATTCATTGTTATGTATTTACTGGAGGCCTGATGCACCAAAGTCATGCAAGGGGCTCAGCCCTCGCAGCCCCAGCTGCCTCAGCCGGCCCTCTCAGCCTCGCCCAGCCCTGGCTTCGTCTGGAAGGTCGTCTGGACAGTCGTCCAGGAGGTTGTTCGGTTCGGTCTGATTAGCATATTAGGTCTTTGTTATACGGGATAACCTAGCCAGGTACAAGCAGGCTTTCCAGTGATACGTGCAATAAAACTAAGTGTAAAATGTGGATGAAGAGAAAATGAAATGGCATCAGTACACAAAAAACATGATGATTCCACTATATAAAAAGATGTAATCCACATTTAAAGCGGCTAAAATCATTACAATTGTTGTTTTAATTAAAGTATGTGTGTCAAGTATCAGTATATCCTTTCTATTTTCAGAGCAGTTTATAAATCCATATGAAAACCTTTATGATACTAGTGCTAGGTAATGTTTAATGACAAAAATGTATGTAAGTTTCAATCTATAATAAAGCATAATTTTTAAGCATATATTAAATACAGTTAACTTTACTTATTTTAGAAACCTAACCTTTACTTAAAAGCTGCTGATTTATGATAATTTTTGGAAAACACATTATAATATCCTTATACAACTCATAATAAAAACATCCCACACCACATAATCCAAACAGAAACACACAAGGCCATCTTTTACCAAGTCTAGAATTGAAATGTAGTCTTTGCCCTCCATCCCTTTTACGAAGCCTGCACCAAGGCTGACAAACAGGAGGATGCTGCAGGGAGGGGCTGCAGCAACTGTGCTGTTTGTGATGCTAGAGTCATTTCCAGAGCATGCTACTCTCATGTACACGGATACAGAAAGTCGTAGTAAAGCCAAACTGCTCCTAGTACTTCCTCAGCACTGATGGCGAGGCCCACTGTGCCAACCGTCAGTAGCAAGGTTGACCACATGGATGTGGATGTGCTAAACCCCAATGCTACATGGATGTGAAAGCAAACACCTTTACCTAACTTCATTTTTTTTCTTGGCTACCTCTATGTAAATTTGCTCCAAATCTCTCAGAATTCTGCTTACACTGTATTCAGCCGTTTCCTCTTAACCATTAACTTCTTCTGTAGCTCAAATGCTCTTAAAATTCCCCTTTCTTCCAAGAACTGCCCTTGACTTGTTGGAACAGTAATCCTTGAACTACCTCATTTGGGTATGGGGATTTTATGTGCCTACCCTCCATCCTCTGAGCTACGAAAGGACTTACTTGTTCCTATTTTACTTATATTTTATTACCCTCTCACGTTCGAGTGCTTCCCTGAGCCACAGTCACTGGTGGAGAGCCAGCGGGAAAAGCTGGCTGTGGGGAAATTAAAGAGCATGAACCGGACAACTCTGAGTGTTAGAGAAGCCACCAATTGCTCTCTAAGCCTTAATCACCTCATCTGTGACATAAACAAAATACCACCAGTGCAGTGTCCTCAAAAGCCTGCCGTAAGTGCTGTGAGATGATTTAGCACAGTGCCTAGCATACAGTGAGCCCTAATCAAGGAAATAATTAGCAGAACACCCGACAAAAGCTTCCCGATGATGCTTAGACAAACATAAGATAAACTGGAATTTAAATATTTATTCTGAGTGTTAACATTATACCTATAAAAAGTTATATAGCTAATGAAAATGTTGAGTAAAGATGTTCAGGGAAAAAATGTCAACTAAATTACATATTCCATTAAAGACATTCTTTATTGGCTACAATGGTTAACATGCTTAAGAGAGACAATATTCTGTGTATTTTTCTTTTTTTTTTGGTTATCAAATAATCTTTAATTTAAATATTTTCCTTTGTAGTTCTTAACTAGCCTGATATTCCACTGCACCACTGTTGATATCATCTATGATATCATCAGGGTGGCGGCCATCAACGTTGTAGTCCACAGACTGGACAGTCCCCAGGATCTCTTTAATGGTTTCAGAGAGTTCTCTAGCTACAGATCGGTGCCGCATCTGTCGGGCAATGCTGACAATCTCATCAAAAGTGATATTTCGACTGTGTTTAATGTTTTTTTGCTTCTTTCTGTCTCTTGGCGGTTCTTTGAAAACTTTGAAGATCAGGGAAGAGGCAGAAGGCACTACCTCAATCTGGGCGTGTCTGTTCTGAATGGTCTGTTTCACTGTAATTCTCAGACCCTTCCAATCACTGGTTGCTTTGGTGACGTCATCACCAACCTTTTTTGGAGACAGGCTCAGGGGGACAATCTTGGGGTCCAGAGCAGAAGTGGCACCCACTTCCCCACTGGTGCACCACAAGTATACGAGTTTGACTTGAACTTCGATGGAATGGTGGAGGCAGCTGGTGTCGGATGAACCCGGATTCGGGACGACCAAAGAAAGTTGCATCTGAGCCTCCTCCGAGCCAAAAGCCTAAAGCTGTGTATTTCTTAATAAGCTTGGCATTTTAAACAAGGGTATTTTGGTTAAAATAAAACATATTCGAACATCTTTCTAAGCTACTAATTCAGGAGAGAGAAAAAAGGAGAAAAACTGCAAATGTAATGCTTTATATACATATACCTTTAGGGCACTTAAAGAGAACAACTTCATCACTTGTTATCTTTGGATGACCCTTACTTTGGAGGCATTTATGTTTTCATCAAGGCTGAAGAAGCAGCTTGGAAACAGGTGAGTTGCAGGTGCATACTGCTCTTGAACTTGTTCAGCAGCTCTTCCAGTAACCTGCAGGAGCAAAGACTATTTATAGCCGACAGAAGGAAGCTTGTCCAGCAATATAAGAAAACACGCACGGGAGCCAACTGCATGATTTATCGATGGATTCAACTCAGTAACGCAATCAGTCAATCAAAGGAGTAAAAAGGAAGATACTTAATTATGTTTATATATAAAAATCTCTCCTGTGCCCTTCCCCAAGATTAGAGACCTCCCTAAAACAGATTGTTTGCACCTGTACATTTTCTTCATTCACTTTTCAAAAATTAAAATGTAGTCTTGTTGGTACACAGTTCTATGAATGCTGCTAAACACTTAGCAGACTAACAATTCCCGTAACCAGATGCAGAACAGGTCCATCCTTCTCCAAGTTCTCTCGTGCTGCCCCTTTTAGCCACCTTCCCCTTTACTCCCACCCTGGGGCAATAATTTGTCTAGTCTCTGTTCCTCTTATTTTTGTATTTTTGTCTTTAACAAATATTGGCAAGTGGTGAACTAAAGCCAGAGGAATCAGGTTTACTTCTAAGTCCACTGGGTAAGTCATTCTACTGCTTTACAAGTCACTTTGTTTTCTTAATTGATCTGATTTGTCTATGTAATTTTAAGTCCAGAAGGGATCTTAGATTCAACTGGTTCAGATGAAGCAACCAAGAAGTGGGCTTACTGCTACTGGGATCCAAAGATTATTTCAGGGGTTGATAATGCTCAGTATTAGGACACTGTACCAACAGATCTAGAACACAGTCCACCCAGGACTATACCAGAGTGGCTGTTCTTCTTGACTCCCTACAAAAAGCACTAGCCTTTGGAGCCATGTTCTATATGTTAAAAATAATGGTAATTGTTTTAATCTTTTATCATATTTATTTTAAATAAATGAACACAGTTTGTCATAAATTCAGATAGAGCTTGAGAATTAGTGTGAGAAAAAGGAAGTAAAAAACTGGCAGAAAGGGTTGTAGGTGTGAACACTGCACAGCCATCACTTGCCCATTCAGGAACATACACAGGAACATACAAGCAAAAGAACTGGTCTGCTGCCGACTCTTCCCAGCCCAGTCCAAGTGTCCCCATGACACTCCTACTGTCAGCCAACCCCGTGCATTCTCTCTGCCCTTTAAGTTTGCACAACATCACCTGTGTTAGATGCCAGGGATCATGTAGTTCATCACCCCATAAATATTTGTTTAGGGGTTGATCAGCCAAATGCAAAGGTGAGTGGACTTCAGTTACCTTGGAGGACCAAAGATCTACAATGTTTCCACTGCCTCAGCTGAGGGTAGGCTGGGCATTTATGAAATTGACCTGGTCTAGATTTTTGTCTCAGGTCAGAACTTTCTGTTACATGAGTAACAAAGTTTAAATTCAGACTGAGACAATCAATATAGCATGAGTGAAACATATCTAACTTCATTATATCATATTTACAAATCTATTCTCTCTTAATATTTTATATATGCAGAATACAAATCATTGGGCCCTGCATTTTACTACGCTGTCCTCTCTTTTAATTTCTAAGTAGTATCTTCTTCAACATTTAAGAGCGATATAATTGACTGAGTCGAAATAAATTTTCTTATGACTTTTTCTATACTAGTCACTTAAACCAAGAAAATAACTAATTTCTAAATTGCCATAAAGCCAGAAGAAGGGTTTTTCCATATTCTGCCACTGGGAGACAAGCAAGGCACAGCTAGCATGACGCATACTACAAAGGGCTACTAAATACTGCTCTTCCTTAAATCCAAGTCATTGTTTTAGAAAGAGTACTTTCAGGTAGCCGCACTGCGCTCAGCATGTCTGCCTGGCTCCCAGGAAAGCACAGAGCACTTACTTTTTGTCTGCTCCGCTGGAAAGCTGGGGCAGCGCTTCCAGAGCCTGCTTAAAACTGGACCTGGAACACAAGCAGCAACACGGAGCTGAAACACTGCCGTTTCTCATGGGGATTAGAGCACCATTAGGACCTCTTAAACATGAAGAAATTAGTATGTACAGGGAAGCATGTAGGTATGTGAGAAAAAGCACAAGTGAAAAACAACAGAAAAAGTAAAAATGGTCTAGTTCCAGAGGCTTTGCAGGAGCAGGGTTAAAAACTTGCTTAGGAAACGAAACAGAACTTGAAAAACTAAAGGAAAAATGGAATTTTATAAAAGGATGCTATTCAATTTGGTTGGTGAAAGTTAAATGAGGACATTTACTTTTTCAAAAAAGTCCTTATTTCAAAACAAAACTGAACTCTAGATAAAGCAACTGGTCAGAAAGGAAGGAAAACTAAGTAGAAATATGATCCTGTGAAAGATTATACAAATGGGGGACATTTATAGTATTTATGTATCTAGGTCAGATTTACAGCCAATATCTTATAATGACTGAACAGTTTTTTTAAAAATAGAATTTAGCTATTATTATGTTTAAAATTTTTAGGATAATGGAGAGAATTGATTTTTAGAGAGAGTGGGAGGGAGGAAGAAGGGAGATGGAAGGAAGGAGGGAGGGAAGAAGGAAGGTAGGGAGAAAGAGAGAGGAAGAGAGAGAGAGAGGACATTCATGTGAGAGAGACACATGGATTCGTTGCCTCCTGCATGAACCCTGACCGGGGCTGGGGTTCGAACCTGCAACCCAGATACATGCCCTTGACCGAATTTGAACCCACGACCCTTTGGTGTGTGGGCCAATGCTCTACCGTTCACTAAGTGAAAGGTGAATAAATAAATGTAATTATTCATGACTTTAAAGTGGTCTCTGATTTTGTATTATAAAAACATCCTCAATATACCAGGAAAGAACTTCTGAGCAGAATTTCCCAAACTAGGGACAGGTATCCTAGCAATATATAGAGTGATTGCACAGTCCCAACACAGTCATAAAAACTGGCACTTGATCCCTTCAGTTGTTCCTGGTGGGGCAGGGTATGGGTGCAGGGACAGCCTAGCTGTGGGCACACTCAGCAACCTCACAATATGAAACCAGCTCTCCTCTCTCCTGATACCGAGGGAGTCTCTGCACATCTCCATAATCATCCTATTTCCTGTCTCTTTTCCATTAATCATACATATGATGCTACTATCCTTTATTTTTACATTATGACAATAATGATGATGAAGAAGACACAACCTATTATTTGTAGTGCACTGAAAGTTTAGAAGGTGACTTGACATATTGTCTCATTTAATTTCTCCAAAACTTTGCCTATAAAGTATTATTATCTTCCTTTTATATCGAGGAACCTGGGCTATGAAGGGTTGAGTTACCTAGGTACTTACACAAGGCATGCATACACATCAAATATGGAACGAATGCTTTCTATCATCTGTTATTTAGTACTTAATGTTAAAAAAAAAAAAACAATGACTGGGAAAAGGTGTGGTTAAATAACATGGGAGTCATCTAGAAATGGCTCTCGTTGGCCATGATGAACAGGAAAAAGAAGCTAACTGTGTCAGGAAAACAACTTTAGAGGTCTTTCCGTTGTAACGATGGCAGTAAGAATGATGGCATAAGCCATGTTATCAAAAGCTGGACATGAAGGAATATGTGCATTGCACAAAGACCCTAAACATTTGTCTACCACTTGGCTTCTCATGCACATTAATAGCATTGCCCAGCATTTCCTGGATAATGTTGCCAGTGGAGTAAACAATTTTGTAAAAGCAAGTAGTCAGTGCTGTTTCAGTTCACCTACTGATATTTCAATGATAGGAAATCCTGACTTTCATTCAAAACAGCTACAAATTATCATCAAATTTCCACTACAGAATTTTGCAGAGAAACCACAAGGCTTCCTCTTGTGCTGACGATCACAATGTTTGAACTGTCCTGAAAGGCCTGCTATGAATAGACTCAATTCTTATTTTCTCCTTTCTAAAGAATGTGATGCTCTGTTCCGTCATTTATGAGACTAACATTTACCTTACAGAATGAGAAATGTAAAATTATATTACATCTTTTTCCCTTTATATTATGCTACAATAAACCAGTCTTAGGAATCCGTGGCTTAGTATAGATGTCTACTTTTTAACTAGAAATTTGATCAATCAAATATAAACATTTTCACATACAAAATCATGTGCATTCACTCTGACCAGTTATCTTTTCAAAGGACTTTATATCCTAGTAACACAGTTCTGATTTTAGCAAACACTCAGAAAGCACTGTCAGCGTCTCACCTGCTTTCAGGCGTCAGGTGGACAGCCACAGTGTCCCTCAGCGCACAGATTTCAAGCCTCGCCTGAAGAGGAAGAAAGGACAAAGTGACAATCAGGACCTGTGACGATTATCACATATGAGTAGGTAGTGAAGGCGACGTCTCCAGCCTGTTCACCACAGACACAGTGCTGACAGAATACTGCAGGCGCATGGTTACCTTCGCCCCATGACTAGTAGTTAAGAGCACACTTTCGCAAACAGTCCAAAAAAGTTGGCTATGACAAGATTTCCTTTGACTGAAAATTAACTTACAGTCAAGTATGACTGAGTGAAGGCAGAGAGTGAGATATTTTGCTGTAAAAGGTGCGAACTACACAAGGATTTCCCAGCAATCTGTGTTTACTATCTAAACAGTAATTTTCCTTTTAGTCTGCCTGTGAGAGGAAGGAGAGTCTGAAACACTGTCCCTGGCCTGTTCCCTCCTGCACAGATTTGAGGATGTGGGCTGGCTTATTTCCTTAAACATATGCACTTCCAGGCACACTGCCTTTAACCTCAAAAATTAAGCTAAAGCTCTACAGATTCAATGCAATGCCGATTAAAATCACAGATGGCTTTTTTTAAAAACAAAAATTGACAAGTTGATTCCAAACATACAAAAACAGTCTTGAAAAAGAATACAGTTGGAGAAATTTACACCTCCTAATGTCAAAACTTTCTACAAAGCTACAATAATCAAGGCAGTGTGACAATGGTATATGGACAGACACACAGATAAACAGAATACAGACTGAGTGCCCAGAAATGAACTCTTGCATTTATGATCAACTGATTTTTGACAAGAGTGCTGAGACCATTCAATGGGCCAAGAATAGTCTCTTCAACAAGTGATGCGGGGACAACTGGACATTCTCATGCAAATTAGAGCCCTTCCTTAACACAAAAACGAACTCAAAATAGACCTAAATGTAAGCAACAAAATTATAAAATGCTTAGAAGAAAACAGGAATCAATCTCTATGATGTTAGGTTGGGCAAGCTTTCTTAGAAATGATATCTAAGTACAAGCAATAAAGGAAAAATATACAAATTGGACCTCATCAAAATTAAAAAAGTCCTGCATTCAAAAGGAAACCATCAAGAAAGTGAAAAGAATGAGATAACATTTCTCACACATGAGGATGGCTGTCATCTGAAAGATACCAGTGACATATACTGGGAAGGATGTAGAAAAACTGGAATTTCATGCATTGCTGGCAGGAAAGTAAAATGATACAGTCACTCTGAAAATAGTCCGCAATTCAATTAAAGATGAAACAGAGTAAGCACATGACCTAGCAATTCCACTCCTAGGTATATAGCCAAGATATATGAAAACATATGTCCACAAAAAACTTGCAAATGAATGTTCACAGAGGCATTCTTTGTAATAGCCCAAAGTGGAAACAATCCAAATATTCATCAGATGATGAATGGGTAAATAAAATGTGGTATGTTCATACAATGGAATATTATGCAGCCATAAAAGAAATGTTGTGCTGATCCATGCTGCAGCATGATGAACCTTGCAAACATTATGCTAAGTGAGGGAGATCAGTCACAAAAAGCTGTACTTATATGATTCTGTTTATATGAAACTTTCAGAATATGCAAACCATACAGATAGAAAACAGACTTGTGCTTGTCTCATGCTGTAGGTGGGGGAAAAGAGAGTGACTGTTAATGGGCCTGGGGTTCCTTTCTGGGGTGATGTCATTTTCCAAAATTGATTGTGGTGATTACACAATTCTGTGAACATAGTTAAAAAATCACTGAACTGTATACTCTTTATCCTATAGACATACTGTATGGTATATGAATTATATCTGCACAAACTTTTATGGCAGAAAAGCTAACCTAATGCTTACACTTGTTTGCAAGCTTGAAGAAGTGTGACTTTACTTACAGGCCAGTTTTTCTCAAAGTTCTACAGGTGCCTCTGATGAGAAAGCCCACACCCACCACCTCTGACTCAGACACCCAGAGTATGGCTGATGCTCAGGAGACCACTTAGAAGAAACAGCCCTATTTTCCAGGAGTGCATAAAATGTAAAACAATCATAAATGACATGGCTAGCTATTCAAATTAGAGTTAACTACAAAATCTGTAAGCAATCTAGATAAAAGCTGATTTATCCAAGATACAGTATATTCAGTGAAACTTTTCTGTTTGGAAAGTGATTGTTTTTTTAAAAAAATACATTTCACTGATTTTTTACAGAGAGGAAGGGAGAGGGATAGAGAGGTAGAAACATCAATGAGAGAGAAGCATCGATCAGCTGCCTCCTGCACACCTCCTACTGGGGATGTGCCTTCAACCAAGGTACATGCCCTTGACCGGAATTGAACCTGGGACCTTTCAGGCCACAGGCCGATGCTCTATCCACTGAGCCAAACCAGTTAGGCTATTGTTTGGTTTCATTTTTCAGTGCTTTAGAAGCCTGAAAAATAGTTTATAACTAGAAAGTATATGTATGATAAACTACTTCTACTGTTTATACTGTAGTTTATGTAAAAAACATACCTATTAAGAAAATATCAAAGACAAAAATAAGGTAGAACTTTTAGTTGAATATTTTAGAAGGATTAAATAAGCCACTGTAAAATTAATCTCCATGTAGAAATTTTATTCAAACAAAGTGTTTTAATTAACCTATGAATTAAGCCAATTATAAGTTGTGACTATTTATAAAATATACAAAAAATGCATGCAAAAAAACATCATGCTAAAAGATAGCTAAAATCCTCAGGCTGTCTCTCCACTCCTCTCAACTGGCTCTCTGGAGGGTTTGAAGACTGATGCACTGGCCTTCCATGTAAATGATCACTAGAGATCATTAACCTGTAGTCTTTCTCAGGTATCTGCTCAAGAGAAAGGTGTCAAAAACAGCCATTTCAATAAGAAAGGGCAAAGTGGGGCAGCCAAGTTCCAAGGAAGTATCAACATGTTAGGGACCAGATAGTCATGGTGGCTGGTGATCTCCTAGACATACGACTGGTAAGTCCTCACTCAATCGACAGGTTCTTGGAAACTGCATCTTTAAGAAAAACGATATTCAACAAAACCAATTTTACCACAGGCTAATTGCTAGAAACAAGAGTTATGTTCCTGTGGCATCTTTATGGTCAAAAAACCATTGCTAAACTTCTAAAAAAGGACCCCAAACACTGCTAATATTAAACATTGAAATAACTGGGAGCTATACATACATTTAAGAAAGATTAATAAAAACAAATAAAATCATTATTTTTCAACCCACTCATTCCATTTCAGGAGCCTGGGTGGCAGAAGCCGAACCTGGCAGCCTAAGGCGCAGGCAGGCCCCACCCTGGATAGGATGCCCTTCATTGAGGGACACATCATGCATCCCACACTCACAGACTGGGACAGTGTAGACAAGTGCACAGCTCTCGGGTGTGGGAGGAAACCCTCGCAGCCGTGGGGAGAATGTGCAAATCCCAAACAGACAGTGGCCCCAGACAGGAATCAATTTTTTTTTTTTATCAATGTTATAATGAAACTAGTGTCCCAGTGCACAGATTTGTGCACATTGAAAGGAAATTAATTAGAAGGAATATTTTAATATTGCTATTTGCCCTTTCTCTATAATAGAAGTGTCAACCAAATTCACAATCGACAACGACAGATTGAAACACGTGTGCGATTGGCGCTGAGAGCTTTATATGCATCACGCATGGGCGAGTAAACTTAGCCTTTTATATATATAGATAAATTGCTTAATTAGACCTGCTTTCTGATTTAGCTAAACTTTTCCAGCCCAGTGAAGCACCCCAACTTTTCTTTCAGGTAATTGCTAGGAACACAGCAGTAAATATCAACACGAAGCAGATTATTATTGTATTTGGTTGGATTGTAAAATGTTTGCACCTGGCCATAAAGTAAGTTGTGCTCTTGGGCTGAAGAAACTGCAAGGAGGCCAGTTGCTAGGGAGAGGAAGCCAGGCATTGCTATGTGACATCATTACCTGACGCCCACAGTGACCATTTCCAGGCTGGGCTGGGCTGGGCTGGGCGCCAAATTTTGTGCCATGGGGTCTTGGTAACGTTGGCTGCGATTTGGTGGGGTGTCGCTCTGGGGTGGTGGCGGGGTCTGTGTCCCACTTGGGGGAAGCCGAGTGTTGGTTTGTCGGCACCAGGTCTGTGGTGCCGTTTATTTTTAAATGGCCAGTGCGCATCATGGCATCACCTGCGTTGAGCATCTGCACCCCAATGGTCAGTGCGCATCATAGCTAGTGGTCGGAGGGAAGGACGACACTTAGCTTTCTTTATACATAGATGACTTTGAACAAAACAATATTATTTGAGGACCTGTTGTAACATGAAAAAAGTTGCTGATTCTGATATCTCTTCCTAACTTCTTCCTGATAGATTTGACAGGAATTTTACCATCAGGTAAATAGGTTGCAAAGGTAATTTGCCTGGAGGGGAGATTCTTGTTATAATTCCAAACTTCCTAGGTCAGGTTAAACTGTAGTTACTACAACTTCCTTTTAATTAATGTTCAGTACCTCAACATTTATGCTACTGCTCTCTTGCAATAGGACTAGTATAATAATCATGACCTTTTAACTGTATATCAAAAGTTTGACTAATTAAATTTTTAGAGAAAATTGGGTGGCAACTGAAAATACAGCAGCAATTTTCCCCTAACCAGCATGCCAAGTTAACAAGTGCTCTCCATTCCTTTTGCCTACCACATTTTTGTACAGAAATTTTCAAATGTATAGACTGAAAGGATTTTACAGTGAACACTTGTAGACCCATAGACTTGACCATTAATACTTACTAGCACTACCATTTATCCATCCAACTATCAGCCCGCCACAGTGCTTTGATGTAATTCAGTATGCATGATTAACTAAGTAGACTGATTGAATTCTTTTTTTATGTTTTGAGTTAAAACTTACATATTACACAATGGATAAGTCTTACAGTGTACCATTTGATGAGTTTTGACTGATGCACATACCTGAGCAATGGAAACCCATATCCAGGTATAGAACCACCACCCTATGAAGCTCCTTCAGGCCCCTTCCCACTTAATCTCAACTACCCAGAGAAAAGCATTTTCCTGAGATTTTTTTCTACCATAGATGAGAAACCCATATAATCATATGTGTGCTTTGGGGTAAGGCTTCCTTCACTCAGCTGAATGCTCCTGGGATTCATACAGGTGGTACCAGTAGTTTGTCCTTCTTAATGCTGAATAGTATTTGGTTATATAAACATACCACAGTTGTTTTGTTTATTCTGTTGATGGACACCTGGCCTGTTTCCAGCTTTTGACTACTATGAAGGAAATGTTTATGAGCATCTCATATGCTTTTTTTTTAATGAAGGTACGTTTTTAGTTCTCTTGGTTAAATACCTAGGATTAGAATAGCTGGGTCATAGAGAATGTATATGTTTAGTTTTCAAAGAAACTGCAAGAGTTTTCCCCAAAGTAGTTGTAAGATTTATACTCCCAACAATGTGTTAGAGCTCCAATTGATGATGCTGATCATCCTTTCACGTGCTCATTGGCCATACTGACTCCTCTGTAAATTGAATTATGTATATGCTAGAACTTTGGACGTTGCCCAAGGGGTTCCTAAAACTCTGTTAATTTTCTTCCAAGTATTCTTTTCTCTGTTTTTCATATGGGATAATTTGTGTTAATCTACAAATTCACTTTTTCTTTTGTCCTTTCTATTCTGCAATTATTCTGAACTAGATTGCAAAAAAAAAAATCACATTTATGTATCCATTCTAGAATTTCCATTTAGTTTCTTTTTTAAGGTTTCTCTTTTTCTGCTGAGATTTCCTATCTTTTCATTCATTTGATCACAGTCTCCTTTATATCACTGAACATAACTGCTTTAAAATCTTTGTCTTTGTATTCCAACACCTGGATCATCTGTTGATTGTCTTTTCTATTGAAAATGGGTCATGCTTTCCTGTTTTGTTCTGTCTGTCTGTTCCAATGAAATTTGGATTGTATCCTAGAAATTGTGCATGTTGTGTTATGGAGACTTTGGATTCTGCAATATGCCTCTGAAGAGTGTTGATCTGTTTTGCTTGTTTTAGTAAGCAATTTACTTATTTGGAGGGAAACTGAAAACTCTTAGCTCTTGCGCAGCATTTTAACTCTTACTTCAGTCATTTTGGCCTTAATTGGGCTGGCTGTAGTGGAGTCGGCCATGCATACGTAGTTTAGGGGTCAACTAGAGACTTAAGCAGTGTAAACACATGATTTGTAGCTCTTGCTTTCTGCTTTCTGGGTTACATTCCTCGCTTGACTGTAGTTGTGGTTTCACTATTCTTCAAGCCTAAATAACACCCAAGCGTCATTTCTCCTAGAATCACTCACTAATGGTCACTTCTTCACAGTCTTCATGTTTTTGTTTTTCTTTTGGAATTTAAAAATTTTTATATGTTGAAGATTATAGTTGTTATCTGTAGGGGCTTGGCCTGGTAAGAGCTTCTTCAGCCATTACTGGAAGAAAATTGCCAGGACTTATTAAAAACACACAATGTTTCAGGTCAATGAAAGCTTCCATGCAGGATTATCACTCTCCCATATGCCTTCACACCTTGGTTCCTACCAATTTGGTTATATGCATACCAAGAATCATCTGGTTTATGTAAGTTATATTTGTTATTGTAATTGTGTAACTTAAATAGCTACAACATAAACCAATGGAATATAAGTGCAAAGAGACAGTTATTTGTCCTTTCTATGCAAACTACATTGAATAGTTTAGAAAGACTTGTTAAAAGTTGTTAAAAGTTTGTTGTGAAATTAAATGTAGTGAAACAACTAAAAAAGAAAAAAGAAAAATATCACAGAACTTTAGAGGGAATCTGCATTCAGATAATTTTATACGGTAAGTAAGGTCTTGCCCTGCTCTAAGGACACAGGAACTCAGGAACTTGTAGACAAGGCAGGATGGGTAGGGCTTATGCAAGAGAGATGGTGTGCACCTCAAATCAGCAGATCCATCAAAACACGCGCGCGCGCGCACACACACACACACATCAAATAAACTCCTCTGTCTATCATAAGATTGATGACTAAAAACACATGTGCATGTTTAAGTGGAATATAGTCTGACATGGACTGTAATGGTTTTGATACCTGTAATGCTCCATTTTTGCTGAAGGATGACACACACTGCATTAGTCTACTAAGCTCTTCAGACACTGCTTCCACCACCCTGGACAGAACCCGAGGCACCAATTCTTTGGAAATAGTGAACACCTGAAAGAAGGTTTAAAATAAGGAGAAATGGTGCATTATGATGACTTATCCTGACTTGAATTTGTTTAAAACAAAGGAATGCACAAAATATTTTTTGGGGAAAAACCACCATATTAGCCCCCTTTTCCTTTTTTCCAGTTACCTATACATCTTAGGAACATCTAATGATAGCTTACCTCTGCATGCACTGCAATTATATTCACCAATGCTTCTTTTAAATAGTTTCTGACACCTGAAATCAAGATGGGAGAGGGAAAAGGCATTTAATGGAAACACAAGCTGCCCGTCCCCCTGCTGGCTTTGCTGTGCACAGTCGTTTCCTAAGGAGAAACAGAAAGTAACACCACCATTGTCTATTTCCTTTTGAGAACCAAATGGTAAAAGGATTATTTTTGTGCAGGCTTAAAAAAAAGTTTAAATTACTTAAGAGTTTTCTTTCATTATTTTTCCATTCTGTCATTGTTTATGTTCTCTATAAATGTTGGTCAGTCTCCTTCAAAATTGAAACTTTAAAATGTCCTTTGGTTTCTTCATATATGTACTCTTCACATATATGCATATACCCACTCAAGTTAACAGACATAGTCAATAGTAAGATATTTACCAAAACTTATAAAACATCTGCTCAATGTATTTTATAACATCATACTTCCAAAGGTAAAAGTCAAATTATTATGCAGAATAACTATTTTGATATTTAAAAGATTACTTCTGGGAAAAACTTCTGACAAAACCACACTCAGTCTGATCCTATAAGGCAAGATAAAAACTGGACAAAATACAAGATTTCAGATGATACAGAATTAATGAACGCACTTCACTCCAAAGCAGGCACACACAAAACAACCATGTAAGAGTCTGCAGTCAGATGATCTTGGATCAAACCCCAATTTCATAAGCTACATGCTATAATTTCTGCAAGAAGACTGTGAGCCCAGTTTTCTCTTCTACAATGAGTATAAAAACAGTGCCAATCTCGTAGGTTTATAGTGAGGATTATGAAGATAATAATGCATGTGATGGGTCCTGGTAGTCACAGGGTTCAAACACAGCTTTTATTATAATGAAAGCACTTAAATTTGCAAGAAAAAACCCCCCATAAAAACAAAATACTGCTTAATTATAATTCCAAAACAATCACTTTCACTGGACTGGAATATTTCAGAATGCCTTCTAAATTAATTGCATGTCCTGAGAATTCCTTTTCTGCAGAACAGGGAAAACCCTACTATGTGTTAACAGTAACAGTGCTAAGAAGAATCTTTTCCCAAATGTCATTTAAGCTATTGCTTACTTAGGAAAGTTGAGACAAGGGCTAAGAACTATAATCAACTTTTTGAATTGACATCTGCTGATTCTAAATATATAACTAGTTTTTTATTTTTTGTCATATATGACGGTGTTTAAATAGGTATACAAAATTTCTTTGGTGGAGCCAATTTCACATATATTTCTTTGGGATATGATGGTTCAGGTGTTAATAATTATATTTTGCTGATAAAAAGCAAATAGCCAATTGAAACTAATTAAATATAACCCAGAAATTAGTTGATTCTTCCTAGGGGTGAAAAAAGAAGATAATTACAAGGTAACAAGTCTATTATAAGTGAAAGTGAAATAAACTGACTGTGCTCAAGACCAGAAAAGCTTTCTTCCTGTAAGAGGAAAGCCACACCACAGAGATGCTCCTTGGGCAGTTCACGGCTAAGTCAGGGCACCAGTTTTGACCTGGCTGTGACATCTGTCCCGGGCGATCATGCGCACCAGGTCAATATGCTGCTTGTTCCCTGCACTCGGGCAGTTCTACCAATGTGATGGAGGGAGGCAGGGAAGGGCACTTCAGATCAAAGTCCATAGTCACTGAACTCAGGTCTAGAATCTTACATTGCAAACCTGTGGAAGTCTAGCTCATAAATGCATACACACATAAATGTACATAGTTATTAAAGATATAAGTGCAATATTAGGCCAGTGATGATTTAAGCAACTTAAGAGTAAGGGATTCAACAGTCTCTGTTCTCATGAAAACCAGGGTCCTGTCAATGCTACTATATGAACAAATGCCAGGAGTCTGGGTTCTAGCAATATTCTAATAATGATGACTAAAATAGGAGGGCAGTTTTTAAGTTCTAAATTTTTTTTAGTGTAAAACAGAAGAGTGGGCCAGAGTGCTGACTAAAAGCAAAAATTAAATGTAGAATGAAGCAAGACAATGTCACATGCTCAGTATGCTATAAACTAAACTCCTACTCTGACCCTGATAGGAAAAACATTTCCTGGCAAGAACCCATCAGACTAAGCATTACTAATAAAACACCCTGTAAAAGAGATAAATCTAAATTACTCAATACAATTCTAAAGACAAAGCTGTGAATAGTAGAAAAAAAGGACAGGATATTTTCAACCAGTAGACTCATATTTCTGTTGATAGGAAATCTGGAAAAAAAACCCCACAAAAGAACAACAACCAAGTTTCCTGCTTGATGCTGACCACATGCTTCACGAGATAATGTATTGGAAGGAGCACAGAACCTTAACCTTGGCAAAGTTAAAAAAAAAAAAAAAAGAATTTTTGGAGACCTTATTTTTGTGAACAGAAAAAAATGAAACAACTGTCCCCCTCCCCCAAATAACAACACAACAAACTGCTCCCGGGGTAAGTGGTACTGTTGTAGAAAGAGAAAGGAAAAATGTATGGTCCTAGGGATATACAGAAAAGAGCTCCTAGTCAAGTCCCAGGAAGTCAGTAGGGTTCAGAGAGACAGTGTTACATTGACCACATTGAAAAGAAGATACTAGCTCAAGGCCAAGCTCTGCAGAATCCTATATGATAAAACAAACCACTACCTCCTGGGTCATGGGTCAATGCTCAACCACTGAGCCACACCAGATGGGCAAGATATGGACATTTTTAGAGAGCCATTTTTCTGTCTACCACAGTATGTTTGAATTTTAAAAAAAATAACAACTCACAATAAAAAAGAAAAAAATGTATTAGTAGACTTTAACCTCCATAGCATAAATAGATCAGAGAATTATAGAGTAGCAGAAGTGTGGATTGCCTGTTTTATATATTTTCTATTTAACTTCTATATATCTAAGATCAAAACAATTCCTTCTCTTAGTAGTAGAGAGCATATATTAAGACTGCTTCAAGCATTTACTTTGTTGTTTTTTTTTGGTTAACCTTCACCCAAGGATGTTTTCCATTGGTTTTTAGAAAGAGTGGAAGGGAAAGCGAGAGGGAGAGACAGAGAAATATCAATTGGTTGCCTCCTGCACATGCCCCAATTGGGCCCGGGGATCAAGCCTGCAACCGAAGTACTTGCCCTTAACCAGAATCAAACGCACATCCCTTCAGTCCAAGGGCCAATGCTCTGTCCACTGAGCCAATGTGGCCAGGGCACATTTACTCTTTATAAGTAAAATGAAATGTCCAGAATAATGATATGTCATTATTTACATGCTTGTCTTTAAACTGCCTTCTCTAAAGTTTTCATTTATTTATATGGTATCTTTAAAAAGAACAAAATCACCCGGGCTAGCGTGGCTCCCTAGTTAGAGTGTCAGCCACGCACTGAAAAGTCACAGGTTTGATTCCCAGTCAAGGGCAAATACCTGGGTTGAGGGTTCGAGTCGAATCCTAGTCAGGGTGTATGCGGGAGGCAACCAAGCAATGTGTCTCTCTCATCAATGTTTCTCTTTCTCTCTCTTCCATCACCCCCTTGCGCCTTCCACTCTCTCTAAAAATCAATGGAAAAAATATTCTCGGGTGAAGATTAGAAAAAAGAAAAAAAAGAGCCCAACACGTGTGGCTCAGTGGTCGAGCATCAACCTATGAACCAGGAGGTCTCAGCTCAATTCCCAGTCAGGGAACATGCCTGGGTTGTGGGCTTGATCCCCAGTAGGGGGCATGCCGGAGGCAGCCCATCAATGATTCTCTCTCATCATTGATATTTATATCTCTCTCTCCCTCTCCCTTCCTCTCTCTAAAATCAATTTAAAAGGAAAAAATTAACACTAATCAGAATAATTTTTTACAAGAATCTCCACCCCTTTCCTCACAGAGGTACGGTATTTTTTACTGTTAGCAGAATTTTATTTTATGGACCCAACTGTATGTCATTCCTTTTTTTAAAAAATCGTAATAATTTCTAAGGCGTTGGTAGGACTTTGTCAACTGAAAATTCCTATAGGCAGTAAGTATTGTTAACTCTTTAGATGGCATTTTTTACAAATACATGCTTCTCTATATTGCTTCCTTTAATTTTTTTTTTTTTTTTTTTTTTACCTCAGACAATTGCATCTCTGGATCCAGCTTTGTAATCTCTTCATTCAGACTTGGATTACTTCTTGCTGGCGGTATAAATTTTGGTTTTTTGAAGGGTTTCCCCTGCAACTGACTTGGTGCTGCAGATCGTCTCATGTTCAGCAGTACTAACCTGAAAAATACCCAAAACAAAAATCTCCCATAAGTCTGATTAGATTCAGGTCTTTCTGCCTCGGTTTCCGTGGTGAGTGGGGACATTCACATTGTGCTGGATAGCCCTTATACAGTTTGAGGGGTTAGCAGTGGAGGGCACTCTCTACTGTTTCTTATTCAAGGGCAAAATAGATCTCTATTAACACAATCTTAGAGCAAATTAATGGTTTTAATCAAAATTGGTTTGTAACTATGTGTGCTTGAGAAGCAGTATTTACCAATAGCAGTGGTCAATACAGATTCTGTCTAAATAAGTCATGTCAAAATAACCTCACTAACCTCATCTCCTTTAAAATAGGCCAACAGAGTATTACATGTCCCTGGATACATAATTGACAACTGCAACATGATGAATTACAACATACAAATGTTAGGCACTTAATGGTCAAATGAAATAGAACAATAGAAAGTTTTTTATGGAAAAACTCAAAGGGCTTTTAGATGACAATAGCTCAACTGAAATAACAAGATAATGATGAGTCTACTTAATTAAAGTAATAAATTCTCGACGTCATTAATAAAAATGATGTCCACATCATGAAATTAGGTTTTATTTTGTGCATTTAGTCAGATCCCCCTGTAAAACTCTGAAAATTCTGACCAAAACTGCTTTTAAAAAGAACACTAGAAAAGTACAGTAGCTAGAAACTTTGGGCAAACTATTTAAACTCTCTGGATATCAATTCCCTCATTTGTAAAATAGAAAGAATGGACTAGAAGGTAAAATTTCTTTCATCACCACCTTAAACCCTGAAACCCTTCCAGACCTAATACATGATTTCTAATTTTTCAACC